TAATAAAACTGATAACTTAATGGCCCTCAAAAAAAAAATTAACAAATTGATAGCAATAGTTCTAACAATATTAATACTAATCAAAATAGTATATAAGCCTTTGTCCATCGCAAAATAAGATTAAAAAATGTGGTGATATACAGATTGTAAAATTACACGAATAATTGCGTAAGAGCTTGCTTATTTAAAATTATTTTAAAAAGGAAACGCTTAAAGTTTTTGACACTAGTATTCTGTTTGAGGTCCACACTTAGTTTGTTCCATTCCTTTGTTGCTCTCACAGCAAACGTTCGACCACTTTCCTCACTTCTCTTATATCGAGGGCAACTTAAGTTAAAATTACAGAAACGGGTTAATCTATTATGTGTGTCAGAGTTTCTAAGAAATAAATCATTTATATATTCAGGGGTAATGCCATTCAGCCTTTTTCAGGTTAAAGTGCATCGATTTACATATGATTCAGCATTAAAGAGAATCCACTTAAGGAGTTAAATAAGCAGACAGAAGGTGTAATATGTCTCCAATGCAATCTGAGCAACTAATTAAATGAATATGAAAGTGATGTTCGCGGTAATGGACGCTGCTCGAACAGTACTGAAAATAAGGCTTGAATATATTTAGGCCCGTACGGGATCTGAACCCATGATCTCGACGATACCGGCGCAGTGCTCTACTAATTGAGCTAACAAGCCAACTAGGAGCTGGTCATTTTGTTGGTTCGTAATAAACCCGTGAAGCGATGAATAAATGAAGTGATGAATAAATGACAGAGAATATATGGAAATTTTACATGTGATAACTGCGGATTAAGAAATTAATATGAAAGCGATCTCCGCAGCAATGAGATTCGCTGTAATAAGAAATTCCAGTAAAGATGTGTTTGCACTACAACAAGTCTAACTTAGTCTTCATTTCTTCTCGAGCTTGAGCTCATTTCCAAGAGATAAATTGTTAAGCCTTGGGTCAAGTGTCAACCCTAAATTAATATTCCTTACCAGTCAAAGTTGATCTATTGGACGTTTTGAAAAAATGCAAGCATTATATTAGTTTCCTTAAAGATTCGAGCTCAAGAGATCTATAGATTACAAGTTCAAAAAATGTTTTTTTTCACCAGGCAAACAACGGAAACTGCACCACGAAATAGGTAAATAACACTTCACTCAGTGCCTCCTATGTAATCAAGAAGGTCAGTGAGTATTCAAGATTCATTAGACCTATTTATTAAGACATTGGAAGTCATAATTGCATGTATGTATTGCAATATTTGCGATATCTAGACAGGCTGGCCCAGTTGCTTGGTTTGAACGAGGGCCTGTATATGCAATAACAAGGTCAGGCATAACGGGAGCCACGTTAGTATTCCATTCAAGAAGTGCGTGGGTTCTGCTTGGGGGAAAATGGTTCTCCCTCATTAATTGGCTGGGCTACAAATCATATAACGTATTTATTCGATTCAATGAAAAGTATCACAATATAAGTAAGAAATCTAATCAAGAAGAATTCTTTCAAAAACCAAAGTTTTGGTCCGGTCTGGGACTTAAACCTTTGACATAATTGGATATACATAATTGGTATACATAATTGGAGCATTGACTTTGAAATGGAATTTAGTACCTCTAAATGCAAAGTTCTTCAAATGTCAAAGAAACGCAACCCTACTGAACACACTTACTACCTAGCTGGTAAGGCTCTTGAACCCGCAAGCCAAACAAAAGATTTAGGTGTAACTGTTCGTACGGATTTGTCATGGAAAACGAACATTGAACTAGTTTGCACAAAGGCCAACAAACTGCTAGGACTTGTAAAGCGTGTTTGTAGAGATATCTATGATACTAAGACAAGAATTGTATTGTTCATTGGTTAGACCATTTAGAATACGCAAGTAACGTGTGGTCACCATACATGGCTAAGTACATAAACCTGATAGAGAATGTTCAACGACGAGCAACAAAATTCATACTTAGCTATCCATCATCAGATATTTCTTACACAGAGCGACTTGTAACACTTAAACTTCTGCCTCTTGAATTCAGACGCGAGATCAATGACCTGATTTGCTTTACAAGATCCGAAATGGAATGATAAATATCTCTTCAAACGTGTTAATAAAGTCAACGTCTCGATACAACACGCGCAACTTCGATTCTGCGAGCTATAGACCTACCTCTCAACATAGTCAAGACTATTACCGTCAATAATATTTTCCTAGAACTGTCAAACTTTGGAACTCCCTACCCATGGATATTAAAATAGCCAACAATATATCTTCTTTCAAAAGATAAATACAACTCTTGTACTTTAATAAGTTATCTCTATACCGCCCTCCATAAATATTTACAGTGTATTTTAGGAATTTAAGTTTCTATTTTATATTTTGAAGGTAAAAATTGTCAATTGGGACTTTGTCCTGTTATTTTTACCTGTCATTCAACCAGTTTTTTTTTCTTTTTTTCGTTCATTTGTTGTTAGCTGTTAGTGTTTGACGAATTCAATTAAACAATAAACAAAACCTCCCGCACGGCACTCTGGCGCGGTTGCTATTCGTAAATCTGCCAAATCAGTGTTGCGTTAGTGGGCTGTGGCTCGGTTACCATAGTGACGTCCGTGCTGCTTATTAGATTGCCACATCCTTCTTTCACCATCTATACGGAAACTCTCCTTTAATGCTATTCCATTACTTATAATTCACGTCTACGCGTTTGGCGAAAAATGAGGTAGAGAATCAAGCCATTAAGCTTTTACAAATTTTCTTCATCTAAGATCCCGCGCACTACTACGAAGTAATTGAAAATACTTACTACACTTCGCTAAACAAATACTGACCAAGATTACATGGACAGTGCCACCGGCTACCTATTCTTTTACGGCGTAAAGTTCTGTGTCTTCTGTTAAAGGCGATTTACAGGTCACGCAAAGCAACTCATTTGTATTCAGTTCCTCCCTCACCTTTTCTTTCCAATAATTCTGCTTTGTAAATTCTTTAGAAGGCTTAAGGAAGGAAAAACGGTGTCGGTGGCTGGGGTCTACTTGTCCCTCGGTAATGATTTATAAGCCGGAGCTCGTATTGGTAAGTGCATTGAATTATAAAAAAAAAAAAAATAGAATTCATGATGTTTGAACATACCACTAACAGAATTTCATTTTTTTGTTTCAATACCAAGCAGTAAACGTGTGTCTTTTGTTTTCGTAGGTCAGCGGCTGGCCTTGTTAGAGGAGAGGCTAGTTACTGCTCCCGTGTCACGTCACTTTGCTTTAGAGTCGTTGCAGACCCTCCGAGGACATCTCCTTAGTCTCAGAGCTGACACTGAGGGCCAAAGATGGAATTTATGTTACTCTAGCAAAACGGCAGTAACATGAAGGAAAGCGGAGTCAGAAGTGTGATCAACTGGAAAGTGGGAAGATGGAAAAACATCTTCAGAACCAAACCGACAAATAAACAAAACAAAAGAGACAAAAGTAAAAACGAGGCAAGAGTCACTGCTCTACTCCCAAGCTAATATAAGAGGCTCGTCTCATTTCGGATCTAGTCCGATGAGCAAGAGCGAATATAATTATTGGTATTCTTGCTAACCTGACTGGGGTTATGTGCGGGTCTATCACAAGCTCTCGGGTGTTATGTCATCCGTCAAGTTCTCCTAACAGTTCCTTTGTGTTCATTTATGCCCTTAGCCAGATGATTGGAGGTACTGTCAAAGAAAAGTGTCTTGCCTATGAATGTAACACGATCACACTAGTTTATCGAGGTTTAGGTTCGACTTCGATTTCTCAATCTTGAATCAGCATCGTAACCAGTTGATTGGTCTGCTAGTTAAAAGTGGCTGCATGTTAAGTATATAAGTATAGATGATTGCAAGGCACGTACACACACACGCACACAAATAAAAATGAAAATAAGAGTAAATAAATAGAAATATACAGGAAATTTTTAACTGCAGACATTGATTCTCGTGTTTCGAGCACATGTACTCCCAATTTACTTTTTCAGGCAGCTCATACCATTTTTTGTAGGCCTATTCTGGGACCTCAAGTTCCCTTAAGTCGCCTAAAGTCGCCTTAAGTCGCTATTGGTTACGCAGTGTTAAAAGGGTTCTACCCTTCCCAACTGACCCCATTCACCACGCTCTGTTCATTACCATTGTGTTTATTGCAAGGAATTCTGTAAAATATTTTAATGGTTTATGGAGAGACTGTTGCCAACTAACTTTAATTTTATCACCTCAGTCAAATAAAATCGCTTTAAGTCGCCTTAAGTCACCTTAAATCGCCTTAAAACGCCTAAAGTCACGTTTTTTCTGCCAATTGTGCTTAGGTCGCCTTAAGTCGCCTTAAATCGCCCAAAGTTACGGCGAATAAAAGCCCCAGAGTAGGCCTTTTTGTTGCTGTAAAATCATCCAAATCTTATGTCACTGCACATACCTCCGTAGAAGTGGAAGTAAGCAATTGAAGTAAGGCCACTTAGCCGTAGTTGCTAAGGCAGCGTACCGCATTAATCTCAAATACAACTAGCTTATTCTAAGTGTCGTCTTCTTTCTGTGCCCATCATCCTTTACTCTTCTTGACGACAAGTACAAGTTTGGGCATTCAAAAGGCTGCCTAGGCTAACGGCTAGCATTTGCATGAGGCTACTTAGGATCTGCTTGTTCCGCAGTTGTAAGTATAAATGTCTCCTGCCCAATATACCCTCCCTCCCAATCCCCGCAAACCTTCCCTTCCCCATACCACCTAACGGATCCATGTTTACTCCTACAACCTATCACTTCCAACCTTGAATGATATCTAGTAACAAGCGTTGAAAAGACAAGCGGCTGCAATAATAACTCGTAAACGTCAATGCTGTAAATCCTCAACAACCAAAAATCAGTATGCATCTTCTCCATACTGTTCCCGATACATGTCCTATGGGGCTGACAAGGACAATATTTTTGACAATCAAAAACTTCTTTGGTCTGTGATCATTTTCTTTATTCTCGTGACGTTAATGCTTAATGTGAAGGGTGATATCGAAATTACATGCAAGTCACTTTTAGGGGTCAAAGGGTTCAAACCTTCAACACATTTTCACTTTTACAAAAAAATCATCATCTTCAAAGGAAATCTAGAGGACTAAAACCATAAAATTAGTTTACATTAGATTCAATCTAATTTTACTTTTCTGCTTTGTATGAAAAATGAAATAAACAACTTGATACATTGCGGTGGGCGAGCAGGGGAGTAATCGACACTGAGAGCGTTGGGAGAGGTCACCGTGTCTTATCATCGTCTGGCTAAAGACACAAATATTCCGTCCTTTGGTCTAGTTATTATTTCTGCGCATGCCTTGAGTTCATCAAAGGTCTGAGTGGAGTCAAGGGTAAAATTACGCATCACGTGAGCCAAGACAAGTTTCTCTTCTTGAAGAGCAAACCGCTGACCTATAGGGGAATGACAGAAGACAGGTTAACCGACAAAATAAGATACAGCGGTGAAATAACAAAAAACAAACGAAGCAGCTTTATCTGTTTTTCCTTGAGCTTTTGCTGAGTAACTACACGTATCAGAAACGGGTTCTGAATACGACGTCTCATATGGCGTTCAGATTCTCAACGGTTCCTTGCATTACCAACAAGTGATCTGAAAAGTCACGTTCAGAATCATAAAATGCTGTAACGCTTTAAGAAATGAGTGAATAATGATTTTTCCCTCTTCTCACAGAATAAACTTGTAATAATATCTGTCCCTGCCACAGAATTTTGTCGTTTTGATCAGTCACACTTTTTTCAGTTTTCACAATGTAACAATGGTTGTTACTCTTTCGCTTCTGCTTGCGTCGCTATCAATATTTAGGACCAGCTTGGATGTGGCATGTATAAAACCAAACAAAACATACCGATGCAGTTCCGTGGCCCAGCAGAGAAAGGAACAAATGCATATGGATGGCGTCCTTGGCTGCTCTCTGGAAGAAAACGATCCGGGTTAAACTCGAGCGGCGCTTCCCACACGTTTGGGTTTCTGTGGAGTCCGATTGTACAAACTCCAAGAGCAGTACCTTTTGGAGCCAGGTATCCATCTGAAAGGCAAGTGGGAGTGTTTTATTTTACCTTTTTAAACAGATCTAAGCCTCCTCGAGAACTCTTCAAAACGGTTAGCTTAAAGATTTGCAAATCGGCATTGTCATTTCATCACCAGGACTACATCTATTCTAACGAGGTTCGTCAGTCTCCAATTATAGCAACTAACCATAAATAAAAACAACAAACACACAAACAAAACAATACCAACACAATTCGACAAAAACGAAACACTGAAATACATCAATACTAACGAGGTTCGTCAGTGTCTCCAACTAGAACAACCGACCATAAAAAATACAAACAAATAAAAAAGCAGTAGCAACACAAACAAATAAAACAAGCGAACAGAAGAAAAAAAACAAGAAAAAAGAAAACAACCGAAAGAACATGGCAAAACAAAACGATAACAAGACAGGGCACAAATATGAAAACAAAGTCAAACGAAAAGGAAAAAAACAAACAAACAAACAAATAGGCAATGACAGCTTACTATCTCAGGACCACATTACTAATCTATAACCAATCTTGCCGTGGACGTCAATACATACCCAGGTGACAGTCTTCAGTCGTCCTTCTTGCAATGAAAGGCACAGATGGAAACATACGCTGGGCCTCCTAAACCATAGAGTACTATATTAAGATGCAGAGTAGACCAACATGTAGGGGTAGGGGTAGCGAACGCTATCTGCTTGCAAAGGTAAAGTTTATATAGACCTTCAAAAATCGCGGGCATAATGTTTGTTCTATTCAATTTATATTGACACGCCTTAAAAAACTGGGTTTTTTACTCAGGGGAATTCCACGAACGCATAATTAGATCCATGGGTAGAAATATGATGATATTACAAATAAACACGAAAACCAAATATCAACAGAAAAAAAAATCAAAAATCAAATACCCCCTCACCCCAAATGAGCCGAATAGCAAACTTTTCCCGTCCCTATCCCTATAGTGCTAAAATCTAAGTCACAAGATGTAACGTTGCGCGTACCATACCTTAACAACACATTCCAGGTAACGCAAATCCTTCAGATCATCTACCTTGAGGGTTTCTGGCCGCTGCTCTAACGTGTAAAAATATCACAGAAGTCATTATCTAATCGTGAAGATTATATCACTAAAAAATAACTAAAAATTAAAGGGATGGAAGATAATCTGAAGGTGGCACACCATTTAAAAGACAAATTAATTGTGACTCAATAATACGGAACCAAAAGGGTTTGTAAACACTTTTACGATGCTTTTCGAAACTCTTCAACACAACGATCGAGGCCGCGCGAACAACTTGCCCCATGAGGGAACTGGTAACGGGTTTGCCAATCCTAACGTTCATTCGGACGCCAGTTTAAACAAAGATAAATTTGAGTCAAGAAGGAGCAAGAACAAGACTTTCTCCATCGTATGGATATAACATGTACATTTGCACTTTTTATTCTTCTTTATCCTTGTAGACCAGACAAATATAAATCGGTTAAAAGGAGCGTATGCAAGGCCTCTTCACGCCTCGGGCGAGATACTCACCAAAAAATTTATCTACTTCTTCGTGGACTTGTTGCTGTATATGAGGATGGCGGGCGAGTAGGTAGAGAGCCCACGTTATTCCAGCGGCTGTAGTGTCGTGGCCCTGAAAATAACAAAATTTGAGTTATTATCCAACTACACTCCATACAGTACAAATAACGCCATAGACGAGTACAAACATCACGCGGTATTTGTACTCCAGAGAACCGGATAGACAGGTTTTCTCGCATCGCGCAGGCAAAGAATTGGATTGAAGTTACGAAAACAAAAATGGCGGACAATTTGAATCATATTTCCGACGACGAAGAGTCGGAATGGCTGGCAAATATAGATCCAAGTTTACAAGATGGATTGAACGAAGAAAAACAGTTAATCAACTAGGAAATTTCTTAATTTATTGAAGAAAATAGAAAAAGCAACACAACAACGTGACAATTCAGTTCCGCTTCACATACTTCTGTCACGCGCTCCCCGTAAATAAATATCCGCGAAATTTGCTTGCACTCAAACAACAATTTGGTGTGTTGGATAATAAATAACTTATAGGACGTTTTGTTTTGTAGTATCGCTGAGTATATTTATATTTTGACTCCCCCTTCAAAGTATGGCACAACTCGTAAAAATACTCAGGGATACTACGCAGCAAAATATCTAATAAGATATATGTAACTCCCGGATTGAGTTACCAGAGTATCCTTCTAACCTGCCTCACAGAATCGCCAGAAAATTTGATGGAATTCCCTAGTTTAGAGTTTCCCTGTAATAATTACTTTCAGGATGAAAAATACAGTAAAAAAAAAAAAAAGCTCTGGTCACACAATAACCCCAGTAAGACTGCTACACCACCAGCTGACTGCTACACCACCGCGTCATTTAACTTGAAAACGCAAACGTGTGGGTTATTTAAGGTTACCGTGCACCTTCAGGGGTGTCTCGCGTGCAAGCGATGTAGCACGTCCGGTTTAAACTGTAGATATCTAAACCCCTCATCAAATTAAAGCTTATAGACTGGCTATCAGACTATACCAAAAATTTGGAAAAAAAATGAATTGTCGAATTTTTCACTGGTTCTAAATGCGAGCTCCCGAATCACCTTTTAAGAGCTACAAGTCAAAGGGAATTTGTTCGATTGCTCTCAAATTTGGAAAGTAGCTAGTTTTACATATAAACAAAAAGAACGTGTCTCCGAATTTTTTATTTCTAAATACGTTTTTTTTAAGAGCGATTTTTGTACGACCACTCCATATTTTTTTTAATCCTATTTCAAAAATGTTCTGCAACTTTTCAATAAAATTGAATATGGCAAATCGCAGACATGTTTTTCAGCGCTTTGGCCCCGGAAACGGAGGAACACATTAAATAAGCGAAAAAAAAATTAGCTTTGACATGTAACGTTCATAAGGTGATTCGGATGCTCTCATTCAGAACTCGTGAAAAAATTGACAATTAATTTTTTTCAAAAGTTTTGTTATAGTCTGATAGCCAGTCCTATAAGCTTGAATTTGATATAGGGGTTTAGATATCTACAATTTAAACCGGACGCGCTACATCGCTTGCACGCGAGACACCCCTGAAGGTGCATGGTAACCTTAAGTCTCAGTGGATCCGAGTTGAGGGACAAGGGTTGCATGATGATCTTTAAAGTAAACCAACACTGATCGAAGAGTAGAGCATCCCGTACTGCGCAAAACATCACGTAATCAGGTGTAGCAAGTAACATTGACATGGTGTCTTTTCTTGCTAGCAAGCGCGATAGGCATAAAGACGGGCGCAGGTCGATCATACATGCCGAACCTAGACATCCACAAAACACTTGAGAGAATTTGTGACTGACTCAACTCTCTGCGAATAAGCACGCAGTCAATAGACGAGTTGAACAGTTACGATGGTCCTCTGATCTTGAACAAGTAAGGTGACCTATCTTTGTTACTTTAGTTCTCGAAACAGACATTAATAGGGAACAATCGAGGAGTTTCAAAACGATCGTTCCACAACTTATACTTCTGAAGAATCACCTTTAGAGAGATGCTTAACTGCAACTGGGTGGACACACAGCGGTCAAGTATCTGAGTATGGCACTACCACGAGGTATATTAAGATCACACCCAAAAACTGCTTCTAACCCTTAGAAGACCAGGGGCTCGTTATTTTTTCATTTGTAATTTGGCAAGACACACTAAACCTCACTCCGGTTTGTCCTTATATTGAGTATCCGCTACAATATTTGCGGTTTTGAGATACTTTGGGCTCAGACTTAAGGGTCACGTGACGTAGATCAACATTTCGTGTTTCGAGGAGTTGAAATCGATTCGGTTTGTCGCCGTTTATAAGTGTTTTTCGAGCCATTTCCCTCTACAGAAGCCCCTATGTCGGCATCATTAAGCTAGAATGTGGGTAGAGGCAAGTCTCTGAATGAAAACAGAGGCGA